ATTCATTATTATTATTATTATTATTATTATTCAATATTCAGTATTAATCACTTTGACTTTGCATTTTATGCATACTTGCGGTTTTACTTCAAACATGTAGTTTAGTTTATTACATATATCACATATTCTTCGTAAAGGAAATTTCCTAAATAAATTGCATTCAGTTAAATATTTCAAAACATTTCATCGGTAATTCAGCATGTTTGATCCTTTAAGCTTTATGTATCCTACTTATCTCACATTGGTGCTAGGGCCCTGCACTGTTGTTAGATTGGTATCATACTTACCATTTATTATCAAAATTTTGTTACTCACCAAACCTTTCTTTAGGGGGAGGGTGATGTGACGGATATGTCAACCCGTCATGTGTATTTCTTACTAGAATACTCGGGTTTTGCTCGGTTAAGTATGTTACTTGTCCGTTTTTTATGATGAAAAGGGAGGAAACTCCAGTTTTGTTGTGAACTGTGAGGTTGGCGCCATGTAACACTCACTGCGAATAAAGAAGAATGTTTAACTCCCCACAACGGGTTGAGGTTTATGTGTTCACAAGTAAGACAGCAACACAGCTGTCACAGTACCAAAGAGTGTTAACATTCACAACTTCAGATATTCTACTAGTGATCCTTTGGTGAAGTACGGTGTACTGCAGAGTTCTTCCTGAGTGATACATTAATGATGGGGTTCTCTCTTCCCTTTCGCCCTGAGTACTAAATAATTGTTCGCGTGTATGATCCAAGTGATGAAGATCAACCGCGTGGACTTGGGTCTCACGATTCAGATCATGCTATTCCAAGTGGCTTTAAAGACTAACGCTTAGTCTCTGAATATATGTATATTTTTGATTGTAACAAATAAAACATTTAAATTGAAAAGGAGCCCCAGGGAGACCAGAGATTCAGAACCTGGGGAAATCTAGACTTGCTTCATTTAGGGTTTTACCATTGCAGGGAAGCCAGGGCCCCGTTTCACAAAGCTCTCGTAAGCCTAAGATCTCGTAACTTTTCTCGTAGCAGTCGTATCTCCTATGTTACAGTATAGGAGATACGACTGCTACGAGTAAAGTTACGAGATCTTAGGCCTACGAGAGCTTTGTGAAACGGGGCCCTGGGCTGCAGGGAAAATAATGTGGTTCGGGACTGTGAGACAGATTAGTGGCTTTATTACTACCACGTTTTAATCGTAGAAATGTGTTCTTTCAATATGCGGCTAAAGTTGTGAGGCTAAGTCGCCTCCAGCTGAAAGGATAGTGTCACTCCTGGTGGGGTCCAGCTGGTAGTAGAGGCACGTTAAGTCCCCACGGTCATAATCATAACGGTCTAACTTTGGTTGCCGGCAATCTCTAGCCTGATTTGAATTTGTTTGGCAAAAGTTTCCGCTTTTAAATGTTCCATATATAGTTTGATAAATAGATGTGATACATTGCTACTCATTGTACTGCTCACCGGTAACATGTTTTGCACAACATTTTGTAGTCACCAACTGACTAAAATACAGCGGGGCTAAATTGTAACTCACCTACTCATGTTAAAATGCAATATGGTTCAAGGCGTCCGGGGTTCCAAACAAGGTGACAAAAGTGCAAATCCTGTTTTCGTTCAAATACCTTATATGTCAAACAATTTATAATTTACATCACCTCCACGGGTTTAGTGGCTCACAGGAAACTGAAAACAAGACAGTATTCATCAGAGGAAACAGAGTGGCGACTAGCAGGGGTGAGTCGAAAGATAGCCGAATAAGGACTTGTTCAGTAGTGACTGTGTTTAACGTTGGTTGGTTTGTTGTTTAACGCCACACTCAGCAATATTCCAGCTATGTGGCGGCGTTCTGTAAATAATCGTGTCTGGACCAGACAATCCAGTGATCAACAGCATGAACATCGATCTACACAGTTGGGATACGATGACATGTGTCAACCAAGTCAGCGAGCCTGCCCACCCGATCCCGTTAGTGGCCTTTTACGACCAACATGGGTTACTGAAGACCAAATCTAACCCAGATCTTCATGGGTTTGAAAATTTGAACTAAAACGTTTGTAAAAGAACTTCCCGTAAATACGTGAAGACTAATAAAATCTTGAAAATCTGGTACAAATAATTATCATTAGTTCAAGTCACGTATTCCAGTTATATCCCAGCGTGTCACCATGTCGTGCAGAAAGGTCAACGTGACGCATGCGCAGGTCTTGGACGTTTACTTCATTAGTGAAACCCGGTTATGGTGCTGATAAAACCACCAAGGATCATAACCGGGGCGATCACAGAGTGGAATCCATGATCATAGGCTTCTGGCGTGCCAAAGGGACGCAACTCTGTTTAACGAATTGCGCCGCAACAGACGAGTTGGTCACCTGTGGTCCCTTCAGACGTATTTGTAGGTATACTTCCGGATGCAGTAACAAGTCAAATTGACAACGCCAATTAGTAATACTGTTTAATTCAAAATGTTTTCACAAATAACAATAAGACGAGTTTGATAAACATTGCATAAAATATGAAAATACTGCTACACAACGTGAACCTGTCCATGACAATCATGCATATGTGTATATGTATACATACCACCTCATGCAAATACACCGATTATCCAGCGTATCCTATCTCCTTTCCATCCCAATAGATACCATATACCCATTCGCCATCATGCTTTCGTCTTGAGCCTGGTTTGAATGGCACTCATCTTAACATTATGAGAAGAAACAGCTGATATCAACAGAAATGATTTGCTTTGTTTCGTGCTGTATCAGGCAAAACTTGGTTTCGCGTGAGGGCATTCCTCCCCGTCTTAATACTCAATAGACCATTAGCAATCTGATAAATCAAACCTTAGTTATCTCCAGACAAAGATATCCTATCACAGCTAGGTCATGTCAAGTGACCGTTTGCGACCGTTCGATTGACCGACCGTTGAAATTATATCTACGTGTACATAATCCAATCAGAAAGCCGATTGCTCAACTAATACGGCACCTGTTTCAAGGGTCGACTAACATTCACGACTAAAGTTTGAAAATATTTTAACTAAGTTCTCATTCCAAATTTGAAAATTGAAAAATAGAATAACATTCTGGAATGTCTCATAGATGACCGACATTGTAAGGCAGTTCTTTTCGAGGAATATGCAAAGTCCCTTCCGTTGAAATGCTTATCCTATTTAACCGTGAGATGGAAGTCAGATGTTTTTGAAGTATTCATTCTTAGTGTCAGTAACTGTCGTTCGGAATAACCCGTGTTTACCTTTTTCGAGGTTGCATGATATGAAAGAAAACATTCCGACTGTTTCTTCCCTGATTTTGGTTTGCGACGTCCTGATTGGTCGAATAATAGGTCGTTCTGACGTGACCCGTATACATGTATACATGAGATATTATTAGACTTTAAGGAAGATCATATTTTAATGAGACAACACCATTACCAGCTATAATTAGATATGTTACTGCCTCATACCATTGATTGTATCGATAGCTCTCTCGCACGAACGCGAATTTTGAACGATAATCTAGACTGAACTCGCTTTCACAAGGGGTATTTTGATTGGTTGCTCATGAACGGGAGAAAGTTATTCGTGACCCACTACATTCGTCACCACTCGCCCCTTTCCGTAACCTGTCGGTATTCGGCTTGTCCCGGAATAACACGAGTTGGTCACGAATGGACCCACTAATGTTATTCCGGGACAAGCCGAAGGTTACGGAAAGGGACGAGTGGTGACGAATGGGGAGAAAGTATGCCTGTGACGTCACCACGTTTTGATAATTAAAAAGTTGATATACCACACTGGATAATCGAGTATGGCAAAATAGTGTCCTCTTACAACCACTGAAAAATACAAACCAAAAAAACAACAAATACATATATACAGTATAGATGACAACGAGGTCCTACATCCGGACAATTCAACAAAACTCTGGATTTCCAGGTAACGTGATACATCGAGCTGCCAAATACAACGATGCTTTCAACAGCCTTTCAGTTTCACTTTAATTAGGATAACAGCTTCGACTAGACAATGTTCTAAAACCAAGCAACAAGGGTTTAGTGTTCCACGAACGTGCAATGGTTGAAGAACAGTTGCATGTCGCTATATTATTGCTTGGATATCGTCAGAACATATAGTAAACCGCCCCCCTTATGAATCGGCAATGAGCTTTAAGCAGTTGCGTGCTTAAGATTTTTCTTGTAATGAGGCATGGTATAATGGACTGGGAATTGAATATTTGATCGGTGGGATTAATATTTGGTCCATATCATCGACTGTTCGTTTCTTCATGACCTCCCCAACCCCGCCCCACCAACTGCATGTAATACACACCAATACATGCAACATTTGTTATGCTGTCTCCTGTCTGTAATAAATAACCTCCACAAAACGTTAGAATTATACAAATAAATTTTGAAAAATAATCGAATTTTGTATGCACCCCCCACAGTTGTGTTATATTTTCACGGCACCCCTTTCGGTATAACTCTTTCATGATTCACATTACTCCTATTAATCTCACCTGGGCCTCAGATTGTATTGCATAAAGCGGCGTAAAACTGAACTCACTCACTTACTCCTCAAAATTGTGTTCACCAGTAGTGATAAATGAGATCAGGCCCCGATTTCTCGAAACAAACTTAAGTTTGTACTCAAATATCAAACTGAGTTTGACAATTTGAAACAGCTGAATTTTTAACTCAGCTGCATGTTTAAAATAAAAAAGCCCAAACAACTTAAGTATTCTATTCACCGAACTCAAATTGTCTACTATGTTTGAGTTTGATATCGATTTCAGTTCAACAATGGGAAATGCGTTTTCTCAATTTGAGTTAAAATTTGAACTTAAGTAAAAACTCAGACTTAAGTTTGTTTCGAGAGATCGGGGCCAGATTGTACTTAGATCGATTATCGAACTACTGAGCTGAAGACAAATATTTGTTATACATGTATCCGCAAATGTCTATTATCTTTTTCAGATGTGAATTTAAAAAACAAGTTGGAGGGTTTTTTTGTCAAGGAGGGCATTACTTTACTGTTTGCATCACGACATAAATATGCACCGTCCTGTTAATGTGGCTTTGCATGTGTATTAGTGCACCCATTTGACCCTCCTCGCACCCTCATCTGAATCACTGCACAACACGTGAATCCAGTGTTAGCCTCCCTGAACAACACAGAGATCATTGCCCTCATCATGCTGCCTTCACCTTGGGTGTATAGGCACTGCTGAATAGTGCATCCAGGAGATTGGTTAGAGGCACAAAAAAGAACAGACTGTAGTTGGTTCCCAACTTCAGCCTTTCGCCCAAGTTTCTTGGTGCCAGTAGCTTCGATTTTGAGAAGTCGTCAAAGAAGACACCAGCCTCGACTGCCGTTACGAAGGTGATGATCTGGACACAGTACATGATTACCGGAATACGGATCCAGGGGCACTTTGACGGACCTGTGGAATACAAATAAGTGAGCGTTAGTGATTGAGAGAGTGAGTTTAGTTTTACGCCGCACTCAGCAATGTTGAAGCCATTTGGCGGCCGTCTGTAAATAATCGAATCTGGACTAGACAATCTAGAGATCAAGAGCATGAGCATCGATCTACGAAATTGGGATACGATGACACGTGTCAACCAAGTCACGAGCCTTACCACCCGATCCCGTTAGTTACCTCTTACGACAAGCATGGGTTACTGAAGATTAATTCTAACCCGGATCTTCACGGGTTATTAAGAGAGCGTGTACGAGTACGATTACGTTGTGGTGAGATTTGTTTGTTTGTTGTCTTACGCCGCATTCAGCAAATGTCCTGCGACATGTAAATAATCCAGTCTGGACAAGACAAGACATGAGCATCGATCTACGCAAATGGAATACGATGACATGCATCAACCACGTAAGAAAACCTGGCCCCCTGATCCCGTCAGTCGCCTCTTTCGAGAATCGTTAGGGGCGGTGGGGTAGCCTAGTGGTTAAATCGTTGGCTCGTCACGCCGAAGACCCGGGTTCGATTCCCCACATGGGCACAATGTGTTAAGCCCATTTCTGGTGTCCCCCGCCGTGATATTGCTGGAATATTGCTAAAAGCGGCGTAAAACTAAACTCAGTCAGTCAGTCAGTCGAGAATCGTTGAGTGCTGAATAGTGTTAGAGGAAAGTCCGTGATGCACGCCTCACACGGTTATCACACTGATGGAACTCGCGTGTACGGGTCTGATACTGACAAACCTAGACCCAACCGGAGCGAACAGGAATCGGAACCCATAATCATTGGTTTCTGGTGAACCAAAATAGCGAAATATTCGATTTTCGATTTTAGCGTTTATCAGAGAATTCTTGTGGCAGTAGAAATGGTTTTGTCGCCTTTGCCCAACCATGGCAACTTTGATTAAATGTTCTCCACTCAGAGGTGCGTCTGATGTATGTTTCTACAGTTTGTGATTTCAGCAGTATCAGGGTGATTTGGGGATCCAATTTGGACCATAACCATTGTTGGTATCAAAAGCGATCTATTGCGTCTAGCGGGCTGACACACAGTGTCACACTCGCACAATCAACATAGTACAGTGTTTGTACACTGTTTCTCGTTATCCCTCCAGAACTGTTTAGGTCAATTTAATAAGTAAACCATACACCCGCTACGTGTTGCAAGACAGACGTTGGGGGATCACAGATCCGTTGTCGTGTGGACAGACCGTTTGCCTGCAAAGTGGAAGATGGTTCGATTCCACTAGTAACGCATGGAACTTGTTGTTGCCCTGTCTGATCCTATGGGGCATCATGTTAAACGGCGGCATTGTATCTCAGTAGGGTAGCTCGATGACACCGGCATACGTCCGTACAAGTACAATGTGCCACGCACGCACGTACGAAAACGGTGTGTGCTCAGTTCTTACTATTGAAGCAGTTCGTGTTTGTAATTACCACAGGATCTAGTGGTCGGGTTCGCTGGCTTGGTTGACGCATGTCATCGTATCCCATCGTAGATCGATGCTCATGCTGTTGATCACCCAATTGTCTTGGGTGTCACCCAATAATCCAGATTCAATTATTCATTGCTGAGTGTGGCGTAAAACTACTCACTCACTACTACGGGAATCTGTGATAAAGAATAATATAAATATTATTACCGCCTCAAATGTTTTATGTTCATTCGTAAAACACCTGTTGTATATATACATGAAGTGTAGATAGGTAAGGTATGCAGTAGTGTATCTATTGTATGTCAACCAACTCTAGAAACTTCAGATTCGGAGGCGATTATTCGTCAGGGGAAATACCTTTATAGTATGCATAGATGGCGAAGAAGAAGAAAGGGATGTGCGTGATGAATTCCACGATGCAGAAACTGGCGAACCAGGGCATGTTCCGAGCATTTGCCATGTATGGATCCCTGAAGTGTTGAGTGTACCACTGGAACAGGTCAGTCAGCTGAAACAGACAGGATTATTGAACAGACCAGTCAGCTGTGACAGACAGTATTCTTGAACAGATCAGTCAGCTGTGACAGACATGATTCTCGAACAGACCAGTCAGCTGTGACAGACAGGATTCTTGAACAGATAAGTAAGCTGAAACAGAGGATTCTTGAACAGATCAGTCAGCTGAAACAAGAGGATTCTTGAACAGATCAGTCAGCCGAAACGGAAGATTCTTGAACAGATCACTCAGCTGAAACAGAGAGAATTCCTGAATAGATCAGTCAGCTGAAACAAAAGGATTTTTAACACCGACTGACTGAGTACGGTTCTACGCCGCTTTTAGCAATATTCCAGCAATGTCACGGCGGGGGACACCAGAAAGGGGCTTCACACATGGTTCCCATGTGGGGAATCGAACCCGGGCATCAGGCGTGAGGAGCGAACGCTTTAAACACAAAAAATTACCCCACCGCCCCGATTCTTAAACAGATCATTCAGATAAAACAGACAGGACACGGTGGTCTGGGTAACACCATCCAGGTTGTGACTTCATCACGAAGGCATGTGTTTTCATACCACCTGCCGCTAGTCTCCTGACCATGAGTCATGGAACACCATAAACTGCACAGACGATAAACACAACAGCACAATAATCGTTATCGCAAACCGAGTTTATGCTCATTACAGCAGACCACGAACATCGTTTATATGTCATCCCAAATGTATGCTTGCCCAATTACAAATACCAGCTATTCAAACCAACTTCCTGAACCGCCGAGCAGCAGGTCGCTCTAAATGTCTCAGAGCCCCAGCAACGAGGATATTTGGTTGGGATGTAATGATATGTTTGCATTCGCTGTCAAATAATTGGTTATTTAGAAAGGATGTATTGCGCCTGACCTAACCCACCTAAGATAATTACGGATGACTTTTCCCGAACTAACAATCATCCTATTTCCTAAGACTAACATAACGTTTTTGTTCATTTTTTCATCGTTAAGATTCTCTCCGTTCCCAAAGGTTTGTTTTGAAATATTGGACAGAAAAGGGAATACATGTACTGTAGACCGCCTCTCGCCCGTAGTTCTCCAGGGGACGTGCTTGTAAAGTAAACGACGGATGTGAATGATTATACAGGGCAAGAAGTAAGATTACTTTCTATTAATAGCTGTCTGTGTGCCAAATTCCAATATCTAAAAACATTGAGCAGAGTAAGTCGTGCTCTTGACGCTTTTGAAGTGTCCCTCTCCCTACGGACCAATGATAGACGAACCATCTGGAAAACGTTCCGAAATGGAAAAAAATCCAATCGTATTGTGTTTGACAAAGATATGATTCGTCTTTCAAATCTGGCAGTTATAATTTGCTTTGTTTCAATCGATCACCCAACGAAATATGTTTCGATTAACAGATAGGTCTTTTAATAATGCTTAAGGGGTCGTTGTCGGTACGAGAACGGGACCGCCTCCGTGGTGTAGTGGTTAGAGCGTCCGCCCGGAGAGCGGAAGGTCGCGGGTTCGATCCCCGACCGCGTCATAGCAAAAGCCGTTAAAATATGGTACTTGTTGGTCCATGCCTGGCGCTCGGCATTAATGGGTACAACAAGAACTGGTCGGCTCGGAGTCATTATAATGTGTCTGAGTGGGGTATTCATGCTTCACTGCGGCGTGGTATCTCAGTGGGCTAGCACTATAAAACCAGCCTAAGTCTGGGCTAGTACAAGCAGCCGCACATACAAATACACACGCATGCACGTCGTCATATGAGCGAATTGTTCTCAAGCACGACGTTAAACCAAAATTCACCTCACCTCACATCACCGGTACGGGAACTACAGACGGGTAACCAAGGTAGCAGAAATCAGAATACAGAAACGTACCCAAGTACGAGTCCATTCCGCATTGAGCCAAGTCAAAACATTGATTACACAACAGTCTCGTTTCCTGTTGACTGGGTTCCGTCCTATTGCGCAACTTAGTACAATACCAGTCCAGAATTTTGAGACCAGTTCATTTAACTTGATACATAAATATTAATCAGTATTATTTGATACATCTAAGCACTTGAATATTGCAACACTACGCTCCTTCTAATCCTTGCAAACAAGTCGTGCAGCGTGCTCTGTCGTACAGCACTGACAAACGGAAATCGTGGAAATCTCAAAACGAGGTTTGTGATGTCTATTTTCACTTTGACACGAGGAAATTCGGATCGGCTGAAAATATGTCATTGTCTGAATAGGTTAATGTTTCATGACTCATGTTTCGGTTTGGTGTTCTTGTTCGGAACTGTCTCATGTATTTAGTTTCGTTATATAAGAAACGAACACACACAGTAACGATTATTTCGTGATGCACAATACCACTCGAAATCAGTTGTACGGGAACAACTACATACGGTTTCGGTTTGGGGTTGCGGAACGTTTCTGGGGTTGGGTACGTTTCTGTATTTTGAGTTTGTTTAGCGTACATTTCTGTATACAGAAACGTATTTGGGGTAGATATCTGTAGTACCTGTGCCGACAACGACCCTTTCAGCTTTAGCAACACACCCAGTAGTTTTGTCTGGCACGGCTTTGCTCCAAGACTCTTCGCAATGATAAGTCCATGTGTGCACCAGTAAGTCTTTTCTTACGTGCCAGTCTGGCACCCCTTGAAGAGCAACCTCCTCGTGGTGGGTGCTGGGTAACGCCAATGGCTCTTCGCCCCCGTGTGGACCCGGGGTCGAATAGGTCCACAGCACCCCATTGCTGGTTGTAAGAGGCGACCAAATTGGGCAACCCGTTTGCCGTGGGTTGCACCCCTGTGTCGGCAGAGGAAGGGAGTCTGGTGGTTGAGGATGACGGAACCGGCAATAGTGTTCAATAATCCAACACACCACTTTGACCCTAACTTTGCCTAGACGGGTGGTAGAATAGGCCCGATTCTACCAATCGGCTGGTCACGCCTTGCCCTGTGCATGGAATGTCTATACAAAACGTGGTATTACATAACACTTTTGACCATGTTCAAAATGTTAACAAATATTCCACCAAAACAAACTAGCCTCGCAGACCCATGCACAGAAGGCGGTGGCTCATGGGCCAATCTGGTGATGCTGACCTCCGATTTCTGTACGTCTCCAATTGATTGTCATGGACAGAACCATCCTGACCTTTAATCTGGTAGGCAGCTACAGCATTTCATGTCAAATTCGCTGGAGTATAACACCCCCCTTATCCCTGGTCTTTGCAGCTTGGAGACCCGCTGCAGTATAAGATCGTCCTTGTTGACACTCCACGGTGGGTGGGGAGAGGGGATGCTGAACCACATTACTAACGACATGGCTTCTCAATACCCCGGTTCAAAACGAAGACATATGGATGATGACAACTCCTCGTCTGACGAGAGTACGCCCCTCCGACCTGACTACTGGCCACGTTTCCTGATCATTGAGGCTTGTGACAAGCAACCTTTGCAATTGAATCCTTTTGCAATCTCCAAAGGTATCGCTGGTATCTGCGGAGAGGTTGCCAATGTTACAAAGCTTAGATCTGGCTCTCTCCTGATAGAATGTACCCGGAAACACCAATCCTTGAATCTCCTCAAAATAAAAGAATTTGTCAATATCAAGGTCGCTGTCTCAGCACACAAAACCCTTAACTCGTGTAGAGGCATTGTACGGGACAGAGCTCGATGCCTGTCTGACATGACTGAAGAACAAATTGTCAAGGAACTCTCTCAGCAATCCGTCACAGCCGTCAAACGATTCACCTTCAAAAAAGGATGGTGTTGTTCAACCAACGAACACCTATCTCTTCACATTCGCGCGAGCAAACATCCCTGACTCGATTAAAGCTGGTTATTGTAGCATTGGTGTGGAGGTGTATGTCCCCAATCCACTCCGGTGCTACAACTGCCAAAAGTTTGGACATGGATCCAAGTCCTGTCGTTCCTCTGCTGTTTGTTATCGCTGTGGTGACAAGCATGAGGGCAACGACTGTACTAAGGAAGTGAAGTGCACAAACTGCGGTGGTAACCATATGGCCTCCTCCAAGTTCTGTCCAGTGTGGAAACGCGAATCCGAGATACTAAAGATCAAGCACAAAGAAAATATCTCCTTTCACGAAGCAAAGAAGAGGGTTGCAAGTTTAACTGCAGCCCCTTCAACCATCACCTACTCTTCTGCTGTCTCCCGTCCTACTATCACTACTGCAACCATCTCATGTCAGACCGACCTGACATGGATCATGTCTTCTCAACCAACTGAACTCAACACAACTGAGCCCATCTCAGCAACTCCACCTCCAACGCCCAAAGTCAAAACCTCTGAATCACAAACACCAGAGCAAATGCCAAAACCAGAGACAGAAACTGCGCGCAGAAAAAGGGGAAAAAAAGAGGCTAGAGAGACTAAAGCAACTCGAACAACCGCCAAACACAAAACCAAAGGCCACCTCTCCCTCAGAGGCCCCCATCGAGGTCCATAACTCCTTTGGCCCTCTGGATATGGAGGTAACTCCATCTCCACCAGACACCAATAGGAGTTCATCAAACGCTTTCTCACGTTCACGTGACATGTCACCAGTGGAAGCACCATGAATCCACAAAACATGATCCAATGGAATTGCAGAGGACTTAAGAATAATTATAATGAATTACAGTTATTGATTCAAGACTTCAAACCATCTGCGTTTTGTCTCCAAGAAACCTACCTAAAAAGGACCGATAAATTTGACATCCGTCGGTACAGTTCCTACCACTCCTTTTCTCCTCCCGGTGTAAAAGCTACAGGAGGCACTTCTATCCTGGTGAGGCAGGGCATCCTCCATAGCCCTGTTCCACTTAACACCAACCTACAAACTGTTGCTGTCCGCATAACTCTGAACATAGGGTTTACACTATGTTCCCTCTATCTCCCTCCCACCTCAACTGTCCGCCTATCAGATCTTCAGAACTTATACGATCAACTCCCAAAGCCCTGCATAATCATGGGCGACTTCAACGGCCATAACCCCCTATGGGGGGAGTA